TTTGAGGACACGTACAACACTTTGAGATACGCAGACAGAGCCAAACATATACGAGCGGATGTAAGTAGATGGGCGGGGAAAGATCTTGTCAGTTTGTTAATGTTTTAACGACACTTAATTTGCTGCTTGCACTCTGTGCATTCTGGAAAGCCGACAATGTTTCTGAGTGTTCTAGTTCTGCAAGGGTAATAATATGCTGAGTTGCAAAATTTCTGTCACACCCATTATACTACGGTAATTTTCACTAAAGCGTAAAAATTGTAGCAAGAATGAACAGTGCAACTTTTATGACTATTGGGACACCTCATGCATGTGCAAACGAAAGAATTCGTAAACTGGAAGTTGCACGTGGGCAAAGTGTTGGTATTGTTTTCTCACGATGTACTTTGGAATCAACTCTTCCTACACACAAAATTTGCTTTGAATCATGCAGACAATGTGTAAAACAGCTTACACACTTTAAATATTGATGCTTTTTAACAGATGGGCCATTTGTTTACCTGCTTTCAGAATAAAAGAACTGACAATAAATGCAGAACTTGAACGCGCTATGTGTAGGATAATTTCTTGAAATGTAGTTTCTGTAGTCACAAGACACGTAAATGTATGCAGAAGAACCATTTAATGCTTGAACAAGCATTTTAGCACCGCTAGAACTGTTTAAGACAGGCCTAGAAATAGCCTGCTGAGGGCGACAACTCAGCATCTAAATTTTATAATTGTCAACACCCATGTTCGAAACCCGTTCCAAGTGCAGAAACCACCGGGTACTTTGGACTGTCCTAAAACTCCATTGTTAGACATTTACGTGATCATAGATAACGTGATTATCGCCCTTTGTGTGGAGCCATTCTAACCCTGTTTTATCGAAAAAATCTCCAGATTTTGGCTCAACGACAATGGTGATGGAACCAAAGACGTTGGTACCGTGCATTATTCAGCAATAATTGTCCAGTTTTTTAACTCTTCGCATTGATAGGAGAGAAAAAGTGTTTAGAAGAAGACTGAAGAGGATGGAGATTTCATAAAGCCAATGTTGGCCAAGTGGACCGATTCTGTGGCCGAAAGTGTGATGGAGTTTGGTGAAATCCCTACTCTTCATCGAACACGTTTGTTCGCAATTCAAAGCAACCTCAAAGGACGACGGTATTGTGACAAAATTCTTCGTCCTCGTGTCCTGCCCTGAATGGCACGGATGATACAATGTGCAAACAAGACAACACCCATCCCCTTGCAGCCATGATCAGTCAAAGCTCCTTCCAAACTTATCAAATTAATGTTCTGGACTAGCCTGCAAGATCAACAAACCTTAACTCGACAGAACATCTTGTAAGATGACCTTGATTGGAGGATTAAGAACAGGCCGCACCGTGTACAAACTCGTCTCAAACTGGAGGCTGCACTTCAAAAGAAATTACGACGGATTCCTCAGACAAGCGTTGAGACTATTCAGCTAATGAACAGACGTTTTGTAGCATTATTTCATTAAATAAAGCTGGAAGAGGCCACCGGTAATACTAGGCAAACTTTGATTTGGATTTTGTAAGGGTCAGTATAAATAAATTGATCTCCCTTGAATAAGAAAAGACATTGGCCGATTCCTTTTGTGTCATATTGACAGAAAATGAATGAAGAGCATGTGTACCGAATTTTACTTGGATATGATGAATAGTAAATGAATGAATTATTGTACTTTGAAGGTGGGTGTGACAGAACTTCTGCAACAAGGTATAGTTGTCAAATTTATTGAGCATGCTGCAGAGCGTGGATATATGATAATTATTTTCAAAATTCAATTTTTATCTATTCCTGTGGGGAAAATTGGTTTGTCACGGCATACATAAATCGTGCACACACTCGTACAATGATTCGTTGCCTTATAGGGTCATACCAAAAATGTGTGAAATCGTGGTGAAATCAGGCGCTTATCATAGTGATCAAATTGATGAAACTGATATTTTTCTACCCATCAGGCAATATTCTTTTAACGTTTGTATTTTGTTTGTTTTTGGGCTCAACATCTTTTATGTCCATTTAGAAAGAAATTTTTATGTGGATTTTATGTAAATTGTTGATCAGAAGCTCAAAAAAATTGTAAATTTGCGGTTACTAAGAACATTCAAACTTTGGAAGTCATCGAACTTTGGTGACCATTTTTTCGTCAATTTTACCTCTGACACCAAGCGACACCACCCCCCCCCCCCTCCTCTCTCCTCTCTCTCTCTCTCTCTCTCTCTCTCTCTCTCTTTCTCTCTCTCTCTCTCTCTCTCTCTATCTCTCTCTTATCCTCTCCCTCCTCCCTTCCCCCCGACACACAGACATTATTATACCTATTTCTTGTTTTTGTTTTTGAAATGACAAGATTATACTTCAAAGTTTTTACTAATAAATGAACTTGAATAATTTCTATTTCAGTTGAAAAAAAATGTAATGAATGTTGATTTTCATGTTGCCAACTACAAGAAGTATGTCCAAGAGCTGGAAAAAGAGGTAAAAACGAAACGTATTTAGTTACAAAAACTTATCTTGTTATAGATAGTATCTTGATGGAAATGAAAAGATTAGATGTACTTAAGATTTTAGATTAGATTTTAAACAATCTATTGACTTTGTCAAGTCTCGTAAGTGACCATAACCCAGACCCCGTCCATAGCGGTTACCTATCTATACTGCTCATTTTGTTCTCTTTGATCTTGGGAGACTTATGGAGGTGGGTTGTTGGCGGGTGCTCTGGTGTGGTTTGCTTCTTCTTTCCTATCAAACATCTATCGTCTTTACCCCCCCCTTCTTCTTTTTTATGTTTGTTACTCTCCTGTAACTCCTCTAATCTTCTGGCGCTCATATGACCTTATGCATTTGCGAGCGCTGTAAAACTCTTACAAAAACTAAAAAGACTTATGGACAGGTTTTGATCTCTGTATTAAAATTTAGCACATTTTGTAAGAAAACATCACCAGAGCCCAGAACATGAAAGTTTTAAAACCATTGATGATTTATTTATGTGGGAAAGAGATCTTGTCTTATTCAAATCTGATAGCGATTTGAAAGGTAGAGTGCTTGGGTCATTTAGATTCTCTAAGGGCCAGTGTATCCATGGTTTAGATTCCCTGAGGGCGAGTGAGTGAGTGTTTTAGATTCTCATTTTTTGTGTTCGCAGAACTAGGAGTGGGTGGTTGGCAGGTGATTTGGTGTGGTTTGCTCCCATCTGTAGATGGAAGATTATTTCGAACATCTATCGTCCTTATCACCACTCCATTTATTTGTATATATGCATGTGACCCTGTAGTGTAAATTTATGTGACTCCCTTGTTATACGTATAATCTACGGCACTTATTCGACCTGTCCTTTTGTGTTGCTCTCTAACTAATATTTCCAACTAAAACAGAACCAGGAGCTGAGGCAAGCCAAGCAGAAGCTGATGGAAAGACTGGAAGGGAACGACACTTTAACGGCTTGCCCTCCTCTTGTCAAACGGTCAGTGCTTTTTGCTCTTGTTCTTATTTATTGTATTGACAGCTTTCCAAAGGTTGAAAGGCACATTGTTGTTGTTGTTGTAAAAATAAACTTGAGCCTTTTATTTAGAGCTCACTTAACTTACTAGGCACATCCAGAGTCTCCATTCTCTTTGTGGGGTCATATATGCGTGTTGCCATGACAGATTAATTTTTTCAGCCTGCAGATAATTTTGACCTGGATGCAAATAATGTGTGACCGGCGGGTGCTCTGGTGTGGTTTGCTTCTTTCTTTCCTATGATACATCTATCGTCTCCTCTCTTTTTTATGTTTGTTACTGTCTTGTAACACCTCTAATCTTCTGGCGCTCATATGACCATTATGCAGTTGCGAGCGCCGTAAATCCTCTACTGAAACAAAAAACTGTTTTATAGATTCTGTAATAGCTTTTCATATACTGCTATGTATGTTGTTTACACTAGGGGGCAGGTGGTTGGGAGGACGCGACTGGTAGAGCTTTACTAAATATTACTTCCTTTCTGGTTTTATTACTCAAACGTAAAAAAAAACAACTAGTTAATGTTTTAGTGAGATTTGAGTCAAGGTCAAGCATTATTGTTTATGACACAGTGTTTGAATGGGTGGGTCGTTGGGGAAAACCCCTAGCTCAAAAACTGAGCTCCGCGCAGTGGCATGTTTAAACAGACTGAGATATCGAGTTGCTCCTGAGGAAGCCTACGTGGCGAATCGTCGAGCTGATTCAAGAATGCAATTAATTTTGAACATATTTTATATATTTTTTGTGATGTCTGTAAATCGAACAGGACTCTCCCTACCTACTCTTCTTTTTAAACTATGATGATATTGTGTATAATGTGAAGCTAATGTATCCTGGGAACTATTTTATGTAACCTAATGTAGAGCCATTGCGATTCAGAATAAAACTGTTGTTCAATTTTTTACCTATTTCATTTGATTGGTTCTGCCACTGATGAGCGTTTATGTCCTCTCGCTGCATGCTGTGTCGAGGAATGTGGGTGTCGGCTTTATATTATTACTTTGTTTCAGCTTTTTCTTCAACAGCAGACAGATGGTGGAAGAAATGATAAGCTTTTTCTACATCCTTCACTTTTTGGATTTTACACATTTAGTCAGCCCCCCCCCAGGGCAGTGCTACTAACTTAAGTGTCTTTAGGCCTTTCCCAAAGGGGGAATATTAACATGTTCTTATGCTCAGTAAAATTGTAAATGGGCTGATTTATCAATGTCCTGCTCATACTGTGCAGGAACAACATAGGGGGAACTGCTGCTTTTTCTTTCCTCATCCTTACTATTGTCTTTTTTTCTCTTCTTCTTTTGTATTTTTTTCACTCTCTTGTGAACTGCTATTTCCGGGGTGCCTTGATAGTCGAAGCAGACTTTGTGTTGTAGAGGCTAGAGAGGTAAGCACAGTAAGCCTGATTTTCCATTTAGACATTTGTTGACATCCACCCCTTGGCGCTCATATGACCTTATGCATTTGCGAGCGCCGTAAAACCGTACTAAAACCTAAACTAACCTTTAGTCACAAAGCCCTCCTTCTCTTTTGCGTCTGCAGATTCCAGGAAAAGCTTGTTGAGGTTTTCAAGGCGAGGAAAGAGATTCGCAAGTCTCAGGTGGCTTCCGATGGGGCCAAGAGAGAGCTGAAATGGAAGGTTGCCCGCAAAGAGCAGACTATCCGGCGTGTGCAGAAACTGACAGAGTCGATGGTAAACATCTGAAGATGCCTGTAGTGACAGAAAAAATGTTGTGGGGGGGTAAAGGTTTTTATCAAAAGATCTCATGGATTTCTGCCCTTATTTTTCTAGAGGCTGTTTCAGATGTGTCACCAGTGTGTGACCACAGCCCTTTTTGATAAAATAGTGCACTATTCAATTATTAATAGACAAAATGGAGCAGGCCAGAAAATAGATGAAGATAGACTACAAAAAAATGGAAAATTGTGACTAATGCCCCAATACTCCCAATCTCTTCATGGGTTGATTTTTGCTGAAAAAGTGTACGTTGTTCTTGTACTACTATAATTTAAATGAAATGTTTCGTCAGGTTTAATGGGACAGTGCATTTATTCGTCAGTATAGAGTAGGATGATGTCATGCATCACATCCAACAACGAAGAATCGAATGGTTCGGACATCTCATGCGATTAACAACACATGACCCAGCACAACGTGCCTACATAAAAAAAATTTGATTGCAACAAGGCTAGAGGGCGACCGAGAAAGACCTGGATAGATGGAGTCAGGGAAAATTAACAACTCTGGGCATCCCCCGACCCAAGCTCTCCGGCTGGTGGCAGAGAGACGTCTCTTTCTTCCCACGACACGCAAAAGGGTATAAGCAGTGGATAAAAGTAAAGTATAGGATAGGGTCTTGCGACTTGTATTCACATGTAGTTGTTGATAGAGGTCAAGTACAGGGTTATTGGTGGTGTCTTGAAATCTGCGTGTGTTCATAACATCAGCATGGTTATTGTTTCTTGTTATGCTACGTAACTTTTTCCTGTGCGTTGGGGAAAGATAGATAAGATAATACTTTATTTTCTCAGAGGGAGGTTTTTCTTGGCTGTACAGGACCGTAAAAACACATGCAGGTATAATTGGAAATTAAATTACATATTACTCTCATCAAAATTCAATATGAAAAGAAAAGTAAAGCTGATAATAGTGTACATATCACTTCAGATGCATCATTCAACCACGTGCCGGAAATATTGGTAAAATATTGGTAAATTGACAACTCCCCGCCTAATGTGCCTCGTTTATAGCTAGCCTTGCTGGGTCTTGCAAACATTACAGAGGGCATTGTAGTGGCGAGCAAACAGCTGATTGCTATAGGAGTGTGATATGTTCTTGACCTCTTTTTTTTCCAACTTGTTTATATGGCTCTTTTTACGCACCTATTTCTTGTGTTCATTTTCCCTTGGGATGGTGGACACAGTGAAGTTAATTAATGACACACATCGGCTCTCTTTCTTGAATGCTTTCCATTATATATCCCTGGTTCGAATCTCTGTCAGGAGGGGGTATTCTTGATTTTTCTCCTTTTTCTTTAATCTAATGGCTGGGCTGGGCGTGGGTGTCTGTCATTTGTCTTTAGAGCGACCACTGTGTCTTGTGGGACGGTAAGCTTGTGTTGATGGGGAAATATAACATTTCTTCATCACATCACTTCCTTTTTCATCCTGGATTAGGATATAAGCCACTAACAAACATTTTCGATCTATGGGTGGTTGCCTAGTGCTCTGGTGTGGTTCTCTCCTTTTTTTTCCTATCAAACGTCTATCTTTCTTTCTCTCCTCTTTCTTTTTTGTGTTTGTTAGTCTGTTGTAACACCTCTAATCCTCGGCTCCTATATATGACGTAACTGTTCTGGACTTCATTATCGTGACTCTGTTCTTGTACAAAGTCATCGAACATTTTGATCCCCCCCTACTAACTGAAGTTGTCTTTCGACCATTCCCAAAGGGGGTATATTAACATGTTCTTATGGGCAGTAGCATTGAAAATTTGGCTAATTTATCTGTCATGTTCATATGTGCCTGAACAACGTAGAGGGAACTACTGCTTTTTCTTTCCTCATCCTTACTATCGTCATTTTCCCTCTACTTTTGTATGTTTGTCACTCTCTTGTGAACTATTTCCGGGGTGCCTTGATAGTCGAAGCAGACTTTGTGCTGTTGAGGCTAGAGAGGTGAGCAGAGTAAGCCTGATTCCCTGTTTGGACTTCTCTGTTGGCATCCACCACTTGGCGCTCATATGACCTTATGCAGTTGCGAACGCCGTAAAACCTTACAAAGTGGGTGGTTGGCGGGTACTCTGGTGTGGTTTGCTCCTTCTTTCCTATTAAACAACTATCGTCTTTATCTCCCCTCCTTCTTTTTTGTGTTTGTTACTCTCTTGTAACACCTCTAATCTTCGGCACTTATATGACCTTATTGTGCTGCAAGTGCGGTAAAACACTTACTAAATGTCTAAAACAAAAACCTAACTTAAACTAACTAAAAGCATTTTCATCTCCTCAGCACGTCATTGGGAAGCACAGTCGGGTGGTCGAGCGGATGAAGAGAAGGATCGAGACCGAGGACGCGGATCTGAAAGCCTCAACGAGAAGGCTGCAGGACCAGGAGGACGCAATACAGAGTCTGTACTCTGAGGCCGTGTCCGCCTTGAGGAGGTCGAAAAGTTCCCCTGAGGTGATGCTACGCCTGTCTTCTAAATCTGTTATTTGTGGGTGGTTGGCGGGTGCTCTGGTGTGGTTTGCTTCTTCTTTCCTATTAAATGTCTATCGTCTTTACCTCCCCTCCTTTTTTTTATGCTTGTTACTCTCTAGTAACACCTCTAATCTTCGGCACTTATATGACCTTATTGTGTTGCAAGTGCTGTTAAACACTTACTAAAACTTTAAAAATGTGTTATTTGATTTCTTGCAATCTTGCTTGCACATAGTGAACAGGTTTTCAGGTTCCGAATTTTTTTCTTATACACATGTATTATCTTTGTATTTAACAATTACAGTACCGAAGGCTCATATAGTGAAAAACCCTCAAGTACCGCACCAGTTTAGAATGCTGAAACCATGGTAGAATTTTTTTTAAAGAGTTAAAAACCTTCACGGCCCAAGAAACATGATAAAAAATTCATTGTTTCATCAACCTTTCAGCTATCACAAAGAGTGACTTCCTTTGATATTTACTTCAGTGCAGTGGGTCCATTCGTTGTTTAATTATATTAAGTGTGCCTTGTCGAGTCGACGACTAAAGTCACCAGCAGTAATGAGCCTATACTACGGCCTGGCGACCTAAGTCACTGACGGTACTAAAAGTGTTAAAGCTCGCACGTAGCTAAATTTGCACCCGCAATGAAAAGATTTCCATGTTCCTCTTTTTTTTGCTATGTGTATATTCAAATTCAGATTCTATGTACCTGTATGCAGGTGTTTCTTTGGGCTTTATTTGGGGTTGGGTTTTTTTTCGGGGTTTTTTTTTTTCATTTCTTTTTGATAATCTGTTCAGTTAGGGCCATTTACTGATGTGATTCCCAAATTTCCAAACTAAAGTGTGGATGTGAGTTTGTCAATATTGGCAGTGCGCCTACAGTAGCGACAGGTTATGTTGTGATGTTTGTATTTGTTATTTCTATGTAGTCATTTGTTGAAATTTGTCGTAGGAAAAGTTTTTTTTATAACGCTTCTGTTCTGTACAATTTATTACACACACACACACCAAACTCTTACACACACACACACACCACTCACACACGCACACACACACACACACCACTCACGCACGCACGCGCACACACACCACACGCACATTTTGGATTTAGTGACAGTATTTCTTATCTTACCCTCTTACTGGTGTCTGAGGTATAGTGGTTAGGCTCTCTGCTTTTGCGCGCAGAAGATGTGAGTCGAGCAAAAAAGGTGTTATACTGAAAATTGAGTGTCTCCATTTGTCTCGTGCCCTGTTCTAAGCAGACTGGCCCGGATGAGTCGGGTCGAAGCAGTTCTCCTCCAAAGTGATCTGAATTGTGTTGGTGTGGATGTCAAACAATAACAACCTGCGGTTTGTTGGCGGGTGCTCTGTTGGGGTATACTCCTTCTTTTCTATCAAACATCCATTGTCTTTATCCCCCCCTCCTTCTTATGCAGTTGCGAGCACCGTAAAAACTACTAAAGCTAAAACTTATCTCCCCTCCTTTAAAAAAATACTAAAGCTAAAACTTATCTCCCCTCCTTTAAAAAAATGTTTGTTACTCTTTTATAACATCTCTAATCTTTGGCTCTTATGTGGCCTTGTTGTGTTGCAAGTGTTGTAAAACGCTCACTAAAACTAAACAATAACAGCCTGTTCCTCCCCTCCTCAGGTCCTGGATCTGAGCATCAAAATGCACTCGGCCGAGGCGAGTCTCCATGACACTCACATGTACCTGGCCTTTGTGAAGAAGATGGCGCGGGCGCAGGAGCGACAGGCTGTCGTTAATGAAAAGTATGTGAACATATTTGTGTGATGTGTTGACCGTTACAAGAGAAATGGATATCGTTGTGTGTGGGGAGTGAAGAATTTTTCTTGAGACTACTGCATGTTTCTTCTTTGTCTCCCCCTTCCAATAATTGATTCATGTATTGAAGAATTATTTTCTATGTTAAGTGTTTTGTTTGTTTTGTATATTATATGTAATCACATACCCCACCCTGTGACCCAGTCTCTGGTTTTCTTAAATTGTAGAAAGAAAAGAAGAAATAAATCACAGGTTAAGCGTAAGTGACTCATTTAGTTTGGTTGCTAGAATGTAATAAAGGAGAACAGATTGGGGGGGGGGGGTGTTAATGACACATGCGGCTATTCCTATATGCACTTTGCATAATTGGTCGCTTTTAAGGACAGACAGGTGTTTCCAGATTTCTTTACCTACACCAAAAGTGAGCATTGCCCTACTATAGGAGAAGTTTGGTTTCATTGGTTATAGGGAAAACTCTCCTGGTCTTTTAAAGAAACTGAACAAGGGGCAAAAATTTTACCTTCAATTTACTCAAAACAGCATTTTTCGGGATAGCCCCCTTCTGCTTAAAAGCGACCAATTATATAGCAATAGCAGAAATATTGTTTTCTTTCGTTCCACATAGAACAAATTTCTTCCTGGCCGGTAAATGTTTCATACTACGTTTTCGAATTTGATCTATCATGCAGAAGTGTGAGGTTTCTAATCTTAGTCAGACCTTATCTAACAGCCGCCTGTCCAAAACAATTTCCCACCCAAACAGCCACTTCCCATTTCTTCCCTTTGATAGTTTTTGTTGTTTTTTTTTTTTGGTCTTGTTTTACACTAACCAAGACTTTCACCTGTCTAAGACAACTGCTTCCTCCTCTACAGTAGGTGGCTGTTTTACACATCTTCGACTGAATCCCCCCCCTCCTGAAGATAAGTTTTCTTTTTGTGCCCTTCCCATGTTTTGGCCGACCAGTGTTTCGCCCTACATTTTCAAATTTGAGTTTTCATGTAAACGTTAGTGGTTACAATTCAATGAAGTATGAATTATTTTATCTTCTTCTTTTTTTTTTTTTACTTTCCTGAAAATTTCTTGGATTAAGTTTTTAAAAAAAGTTAAAACATTTTTCTTTTTAATTTATTTCTTTTATTCGTTTTGTTTTGTGTCCCCAGACTGATCTCATGCCTGCTGCAGCTTGTGCGAAAACAGCACGAGGTTTTGCTGGGTAAGGATCTACTCAACTCCGACCTGAGGTGTCGATACGAGAAGTGCTGCTACTTGGTGGAGGAGAGAGGCGTGGCCTGGGCTCAAGGTCACAGGGAGGGAAGTCCTGCGAGCCCGGTGATCAACAACATGGACACCGGGGTCACGGAGGATGAGGAGATGTGCATCAGCGACATTATCGACTTCCCGGTTCCTCGCTTGCACGTGAATTGTAAGTCAGCATTGCCTGGTGGTTGGAGCGGGGTCACCTGCCGCTCCTTCTGTTGTTTCGTTGTTTTTTTCCCTGAACTCTATGACCGTTATTGTGTTGATGTGCTTCTTTCTTTGTCGTTGACCTAGGGGTTAGGCTGTTGGACTCGCAAACATTAAGTCAGGGACTGGAACCCTGTCAGGGGCCTAATGTTGTTTCCTTAGAAAAGAAACTTTACGTAAATTTTTCTCACTTCACCCAGGTCGTAGTGAGTAACTGCCCATAGTCGAAGAAAGTGGGTTTGCTCCTTCTTTCCTATCCAGACTTCTAGTGTCCTTATCTCTCTTCCTTTTTTGCGTATGTTACTCTCTTGTAACACCTCTATTCTTCGGCACTTATATGACCTTATTGTGTTGCAAGTGCCCTAAAACTCTTACTAAAACGGAGAAAGATCTTGTAAATTTGTTAGTGTTTGAGCGCATGATCAACTGCTTGCACTGTTTGCATTCTGGGAAGCCCAGAATGTTTCTGAGGGTTCTAGGATCTACTTGGGTAATAATACTATATCGTAAAGCACACAGACTTTGCTGTTGAGGTGGGATGTGGGCTATATAAATGCTATTAATTGTTATTCATTTTAAAATAAACAACCTGACAAGTGTGGGCTAGGTTTGCATAGCACATACAGCCTGCTTTCGGCTATACATTATGTAGATGTAGTCATTTTAAAATCCATTATTAGATCTCTCTGTTCCTGGCAAAAATGTGATCATTGTGGTAAAACATAGGTAAATTCTTCAGCATCATTTTCTGTTTGTGCGTATGAATGGAGGGCACCACTCGTACAGTCCTATTTCTTTCACTACCTTCTTTCCTTGTTTGACTGTAGGCCTATTCCACAGTAACTGGCGGGACATTTGGACTATACTTTCTCACAATGATAACACTGTAATTCAATATCAGTTGATTTATTTCAACTTTAAATGATCAGAGCATTTGAAATACATATTTAGAATCATGTTAAAGGCAGTCATTTGAAAAAGAAGTGCTTAATGCAAATTCTGTGACCTGTTAAGTTTTGGTAACTGACGGGACAGAAAAAAATGCCCTGTCAGTACGCTAAGCCGCCCCCAGGGGCTCGAGCGCCGACTATAATTTTAGCTTAGATTTTATTCCAAGCCACATATCCATGTTAAAATAAAGGGGTTAAAATATAACATTGACTTCCGGGTCAAGCGTTTCCACCGAAAATCGGAAGTTTAGATTCTCTTTTCAAACGCGATTTCGTAGTTTATGCGACTTTGTTTTATCGCGAAGCCCAAATTATAGCCCAGACACCAGTCTTAGTACTTTTACACAACAAAATGTATCATTATTTTGCTCACTAAAGAAATGTAGGACTCTTTTTTATAATATTGATACTATTGGACTCAAATTGCCAGTGCACTGTTATTGAGAAATCAATATATTTGAGTGCTAGATCTAGGTCTAGATCTAAATTGTCAAAATATTTTTTCTCCCCAAAATCACTACTTTTTGGTGAAATTACACGTAAAGTACTACTCAAGATAAGTATAGGTTTATTCCAAATGCAATTGTGAATAATTCCATATAAGATATGAGTGTTTTTTTCTGTCAGTGAATGCATCTTGTCCTTTTTTCAAGATTATAAAATTTGTTGGGTTTTTTTTTCAATATCTGATGTTATGATCCAAATGTACACATTTTATGGAATGTAAGCAAATAATTGCAAATTTTTCAATATTTTCCATTTCCATATTCATTTATGGGTTTTTTTATGTATCATTTGACAAGGTGCAAACATTTTTTGAGTTTCACCAAAGATTATTTGTTTTGTGTTTTCAAATTTTATCTGCTTCCAAGCAAAAATGTGTTGCATAATCGCCTCTTACAGGAACCAAAGTTGAAAAATACACATTAAAATATTACAGATGTATTCTACAAACCATACTGAAAATTTTGGTACATAATATGTTGATATTTATTTGAATTTGTGGCCCCAAAGACCTTTGAACTGCGCACTAGTCATCTCATTTCGCCCTCCCGAAAAAAATTCGTCCACAAGCCGAAAATACTACGTAGCGAATGAGTTAATATTGAATTACAGTGTTATCATTGTAATAAAGTATAGTCATAGTCCAAATGTCCCGTCAGTTACCATGGATTAGCCCTGTATTTCTTTTCCTTTTCGCGGCACTAAATTACCACGTTTGTGTCGGTGCGCTTCTCTTTCACTCAAACAATCAGTGTTTGTTAGAAGGTCCACCTGCTACTGGCAAACTGGCAAATTGTGGTCATGTAAGTTTTGGTGCTTGATTGTCTATTTTTTGAAAATCTGACGATAGTTTGTGGGTGGTTGGCGTGTGATCTAGTGTGGTTTGCTCCTTCTTTCCTGTCAAATATCTGTCGTCCTTATCTCCCCTTCTTTTTTGTGTACATTACTCTCTTGTAACACATAAAATCTATTCTTCAGCTCTTATATGACCTTATTGTGTTGCTAGTGTCGTAAAATTCTTACTAAAACAAAATTGTGGTTATATAAGTTTTGGTGCATCATTGTCTATTTGTTGAAATTGTGACAATAATTTTTTTTCTTTGCTTTTGTCAGTATTTAGGTCGGAATCCTCGCCCTCTCCTAACGGGAAGAGCTCTGAGCAGTCCCAGCCCCTCCCCCAGCGAGTGGTCAAGCCTACGTTTGCCGTGAAGCCCGCTGCCAGGACGGTGAGCACCTCTGTGAGTGAACGAGTTAATGGCCAAGGGCTACGACCACTTTATGAGGAGTAGGGCATTAATTCTTTGAGCCCTGGCCTCCTGAGGCTACCGTGCCCCTCTGCCTGAGCTCCTTAACCCTATCCGTACGCCCTGGGGTCATTTTGTACCCCCGGGGTTGTATTCATCACATTTTAGAATACTTTAAGTACGAAGATCTCTTTGAAACTTTCAGTATTTCTCAAAGAATCATTTTGAGAGACTGCTATGCAAAGCGTTTGGTTCGGATTTACGAGTAAATTTTCTCTTTGAAAGTAGAGTTCCCCACGTCGTATTGATACGATAGTAAAACACGACGTTCGGATAGGGTTAATGATTCACTCGTATATTACTCTCACATTTATATCATCATCAGAATCACATTCCATTTCACAATCAGGTTAGTCCTCATCATTACCAGCATCTATTTCAGAAAGATTTTCAAAATAATCGATAATATCCTGAGTAGCAAACACGGTTTTCTGTGCTCGTTTTGTCCTAGACAGACTGGGTTGGGGATAGGGTCTCGCTCACCGATGTACCGGTGGCTAGGGCTCAAAAGGTCAGTGGTGTTATAGTTAAGACTTTTTGCTGACGAGTGGTTCCGTAGTGGGGTAGTTTTCTATTTATCAAGTGTCACTTTCTACCTACAGAATCGTTGGCCTTTAAAATCAATAAAATCATCTTGAAATCTCCATAATCATTATATCCCATTCAGCCTATTTTGCCCAAGACAGGCAGAGTTGAAGCAGCCTGCCTCCTGATTATCTGAAATTATCTGAATTGTATAGATGGGAGTCTTTAACGTTTACTATCCGTCCACTTCATCTTTGCACACACTTTTGTTGTCAAGAGATAGGCAAGAAAGAACTCATTCATACTTTCTTCAACTGTTTTGGGTGGGCGGTTAGCAGGTGCTCTGGTGTGGTTTGCTTCTTGCTTCTTCTTTCCTATCAAACATCTATCGTCCTTATTTCCCCTTCTTTTTTATGTTTGTTACTCTCAAGTTATTAAGCTTCAACCACATATTGATACTTTATATAGATCTACCTTGCTTGTTTGTTGTTTTTAAAAAAACAGTTTTTCTTCAGTTATCCTATGGCAGACAGTTTTTAAAAAAATTCTTCTTGGGGGCAAATGAGGGGGTTGTGTAATGAGTTATTTTGAGCCACCTCCATAATAAATCAGAACTGCATGTGACCAAACAGTTGAAGGAATGACCTTTGAATAAATGCTTAACATGTACTGTTCAGCTCTTTTCTTTAATTTTCTCTCAAAACTTCAAAGAACCTCTTTTTTTTGGTTGTTGTCCAGGGTTTTTCCAAGTTGAAGTGATTTTTTAAAAAACTTGGATTTACTTAGATCCAGAGCTAGAATCATAGCAGGCGGCACATGTCCACAGCTGCTCATCTCTCCTTTCCAGCGTACACCTCAGTGTCTTCCTGCTAATTGTCTCCACAAGGAGCTGGTTTGAGACATGCCTGACCACTCCTCGGAGCAAACTTTTTCGCTGTGCCCCGCACACACTTTTCTTTTATTGTGCTGAGTGTGTGGGAGTCTGTCTCCTCTTGGTCGTGAACTATTGTTGTGTTACATCTTCACCTTCAATAAACAGACCTGCCACTCATCTCGATTTAATCGGGATATCCCAATTTTCCTGCTCTTAAGCCTCCCGATTTTGATCGCGCGTATCCCATTTTTTGTTTTTGTTTCACCTGTGGCGCTGGATTTTTGTAAAATCTTAATCTGCTTTCATATATTTATGGACACCCCTGGAAAATTTTAAAGTCAGCCTGGCAGTCACCTTGGGGACTTGTAGTAGATCCCGAATCCCGTTGTTTTTCCCCATTGAGATCCTGAATTAAAAATTTTATGGAGTGTCAGGTTTGAATAAGTTTACTTTTAGAAATAGTCAAGCCTGTTTTTTTAATGGCCACCCGTGTTAGACAGTCACTTGTACAAAAGGCCACTCCTCACTTCCTCCCATGTGTATTTTTTTTCTCAATATAATGACACTGTGGAAGACGGCCACTTTTCTTCTTGACAATGTGTAGCCATCTAACACAGTTTCAATTTCCCTCCGGGGCGGTGCCACTGACTGAAGTGTCTTTAGGCCATTCCCAAAGGGGGGACATATCTCGTTCAAGCATAGTAGAATTGTAAATGGGCTGATTCATGTCACATTCATAACTGTGCCTGATCTACAACAGGGAACTGCTGCTTTTTCTTTCCTGATCCTTACTATTGTCATTTTCCTGTACTTCTTTTGTATGTTTATCACTCCCTTGTGATTGATAGTCGAAGCAAACCTTGTGCTGTTGAAGCTAGAAAGGTGAGCAGTCTAAGTCTGATTCCCTGTAAAGACTTCTCTGTTGACACCCTCCCCTTGGTGCTCATGTGACCTTATGCAGTTGCGAGCGCCATAAAATCCTCTACTATAAAAAAAACAAGTTTCAATTGTATTTATTTTACTTTATGTTTATTTATTTCATTTTATGTTTTACTTCAAATATGTTTCATAATCTCTTTCTTTTTCCCCAGTGCTCTGGGGGAAATACTGAGGGCCCTCAGAGACCTAGTCCTGTTTCCTCTGGGTACAAAATGCCCTCGTCTCAGCCTCTCGGCCAGCAAAGACCGCAAGGTCCCGTCTCTAGTCTGCCAACGGCTCCAGTCGTCAAAGGGTGGTCAGAAATCCAAACGCCATCTGTGAATGCTACCACAGCTGCAAACTCCGAAAATGTGATCAGAACTTGCCCTGAATATAATAGCTCAAAGAGGGAATCTCCAAGCTTGCACTGTAATAAGAACTTTCTGTACTGTAACCCAGCTGCTGTGCCAAGGGTGACCTCCGCTGAAGGTCAGATTCAAGCATCTTGTGCTGTCAAATCAACGACGAAACAGGAGTTGGAGAAGCAGCCTCCATCGTCGGGTCTCACCACGTCCACTGGTCAGCCTCGGAGCGTGGACTCGTCTGCTGCTGCCGCTGGGGAGGAGAGAAGTAGGACAGACTCGGCCAGCAATGAAAATTTAAACGACACGTTTGAGGTGATTAAGCCTGCGCTGCCAAATACCCCGTGCATTGACAACTGCGGGAGAAGCAGGGTGGCGTCTGCCGTCAAGGACTACGAAAAAGCTGCTGCCGATGCTGCTCCGTTGTCTCAGACACGGTCAAGTGCTGCCAAAAGCCCGCAAGGCTCGCGGAGACACAGAATGCGAGGCGGCAAAGACAAATCTTTTCTTCCCCAGAAACTGATATTTGGCAAAGAAGAGGTGTCGAAAATCACTCAACCTCTCATAGATGTGTCGCCGAGCTCCCGACAAAAAGCACAGACGATGTTGGGTGTAAACCTCCCTGCAAATGTCTCTACTCAAGGCACCAACACTGACACCCAGGTCACCGACCATGACACCCGGCCGACAAGGCGGCGTCTCTCTGCAGATTTTCGTTCTCACGCTTGTAGCAAGTCAAAGTCAGAGGGGACGGCAACATCGCCCTCTCAGGGAAGCAAGCAGGGGGTGAACGAGAACCACGCGAGTCTGTCTCCCACCTCCCAGTCTCCCTCCCCAGTCCAGCACGCGCAGCACGGTGTGATATCGAGGTCGCGCTCCTTACAGATGGGTCTGAATTCGACTCACCATCACTCGGATAGCCATACGGGTGGGGAGAATTCTGCGGTGGCTGAGCACACGTCACGGAGACATCAGGCGCTTTGTAGTAACTCCAACAATATGAACGTCTCCACCAGCCCCACCAGCTCTCACTCTAGTAAGTTGGCCTTGAAGGAGCTCACTCATTTACACATTATGATGCTTATGTTGCAGAAAATAGAGAACTGAATTCTTTTTTATCTTTTAGAGAACTCTTTTACAACATAAAAACTAACTGTAATGCTGTTTGATTTTTAACCCCCACCCCAAAAAAACAAACTAAAACTGTACTGCTGTTTTGTAGTGTGGTAAAAAGTGTAACACAAGCTGTCTCTTATTTCAGATATTGTGAAATGCAGCCCTTAAAAAATTGTTGTTCTGCACTGTTGTAGTAGTTGAGATTTTGTAAACCAACCATGTCCAAAAATATTACAGTTGAACCTGTTTTAGCAGTCACCTCTCTGTGGCGTTCTCCTGTATTAACGGCCACTGTTCTATGACGCTCTTTGGTTTTTCCTGTTTTTTGTAAACTTATCCATAGCAGTCTCGTCCAACGCGGCCATGGTCAGTCATTTTGGCAAGAAATAGAGCTAAAATACTTCGTCCAAGCAGTCACTTGCTACAAAAGTTTTCCACCTACCTGTCCTCAGGCTGAGTATGTAGGTTTGATTAATAGAAAGTTCTATTATAAATAAGTTTGGACTGAAATGAAATGGAAAGATAAAAATCAAGATTTCAGACTTTTAAAAATCATTCGCTAACTTTGTCAGGTCTACAAGTAAGTGACCATAACTCAGCCCCTGTCCTCATTGGCCACCTGTCTATAATGGTCACTTGTCTTTGTGATCTTAACAGACCATGTCCGCTAGGATGCTCTATCTCGCTTGGCCCACGTTGGCCCTGCCAGGCTTGGGTCTAAGCATCTGATCTCCCAAATGGTCTGAATTGTGTTGGTAGGGGCATCAAACTTACTATCGTGCCAAGGCAGACCGACGTATCTGCCTAAATTAATTTTTGCATCTACTTCGTTTAAATGGATCCTGTACCCATTCTGCATCTTGTGTCTAAGACGTATCGTATCTGTACTAGAAATAGGATATTTCACTATTGCAAACAGACGTAACTGAAGTGAAGGGCCATGCCCATATTTCCAATGGCAGCGCGACGTAACTCAAAATCATAAAAAGGGCAGATATGTCGCTCTGCCTTGGCTCGGCAGAAAACCTACTATCATGTACCATTTTGTCTAGTAGGGTAAAGGAAAACTAAAATCTTCACAACTTGTTATAATATTGTGTTTGTTAAATCTGAAGATTGGAAGAATTTCTTTGTAATTGTTAAAGAGAGCTTCTTGTAAATATTTTATTGTTTCCATGTTTGGAGAATGTGTAACAGCCACTATTCTGATTGGCATGTTTAAAAAAAATAAAATTGAAGTCTGGTTATTTAACCTCAGCTAGATGATGTTTTTTTACTGCTTATGTGGAGACAGCAGACTTTTAAAAAAATGTAAGTGGTTGGAGGACGCCATTGGTAGATTCTATTTTTTTGTTTCCTGCTGTTATTTCTGTTGGGTCTTGCTTTTTCCATGCACTAAATCACTGTTATCGTATTAATGTGCTTCTCTGTCTTTATGAGAAATATAAAAAAAAGGGATGCTTGCCCTGTTGTCAATACCTCTCTCTCACCTACTCTTATTTAATAGTAAACTCATGTCTATGACAGCAACCGGAACAATCAGTATGGATACCTTGCGGGCTTTGGTGCTGGGGGGAACTGAGCACTTATGGACCTGTCCGGTGTGCAATGACGTTGTTGCCCAGGACAGACAGACAGTCTGCCTTGTCTATGACAATGTGTGTTTCCTTGTACTTGGAACAATCAAATGAACAAACAAATTTGATGCAGATGTTTGAAGGGGGTGCCTCTGGTAGGGGACCTTTTCCTTACCTTTCCCTCTGGTATTTCTGTCTGTCTTTCTTCTTTTCTTCCCTGAACCATATGACCATAATTGTGTTGATGTGAGTCTCTTTACTAGAAATAAAACCAGGTTGGCGGGTGCTCTGGTGTGGTTTGCTCCTACTTTTCTATCAAACATCTATGGTCCTGATCTCTCCTTTTTTTTTTTTTTGGTGTGTGTTTGTTACTCTCTTGTAACACCTTTAATCTTCGGCCCTTATATGACCTGATTGTGTTGCAAGTGCCGTAAAACTCTTACTAAAACTAAAATAAAATCAGATTTGAAAGCGTGCTCTGTTCTGACATTTTCCAACAGGTCCCAAAAGTTACGCTGATGCCGTCCGGTCGCCTGCCCCTAGTAGTGTAGATCTTCCCCAGTCCACATCGATGCCTTCCACGCCGCTCGCCTCCCACGGGTTTGTAGTTCACTCCTACACTCTAGACATAATTTTTAACTTGTTTTTGTCTCAACAACAGTACATAACTGCTGAATACTTTCAAAACTGTCAGAAACGACCACCCATTTTCAAGTAGAAAGAGGGTTGTTTAATAAACCGTGTGCCCTTTAGGGGATTGGTTTTCTAATACAAACCGATCGCCAACCAAGTGCTCGACTGACGACTCGTTGCCGGAAAACAAATGCTCTTGTTTTTTAAGCCGCTTGTCTGGCAATTGGTTTGTGCCACGACGATGGTCGCTTTGCGCCCTCAATCTGGCTAGCCCCGCCTACCAAACTGAACCAAACCTAACCGATCATGCCTATGGGTACTGGGTATTACTAGACTGGTAGACTTCTTGGACATTGTCATTATAATGTATATAGAGAAATTGCAAAGTGTGGAAGTTGTCCTATAGACAGGTGATTGTGGGTGGTTTGTGGGTGCTCCTTTGTGGTTTGCTCCTTCTTTCCTATAAAACATTTATTGTCCTGATCTCTCCTCCTCCTTTTTTTATGTTTGTTACTCTCTTCGGCACTTATATGACCTCATTGTGTTGCAAGTGCCGTAAAACACTTACTTTTAAGACAGGTGATTGTCTTGGACTTGTGTCTGTTAGAGCAGGTTGGACTGTACCTTGGTAATCTCTCAGCATCACAAGCTCTACAGTGTCACAAGGGGGCTCTCGTGGCCTAGAGGTTAAGGTGTTGACCTCTCATTCAAAGGTCCCGGGTTCGAATCCAGGTAGCAGCCGAAAAATTTTCTTCTCTAAAATTGTCTCCTTTCACCTCTTTCCTGCTCTCTAGCAATGTTCTGTCGTCTGCTTTCGTCTCCTCTTTCTGCCCCAACCCCCTCACCTCCTTTGCCCCCTCCTCTGGGCTCCTGACTCTTTCTACTGCTACTCCTTGGCTCCTTCTTACTGCTGTCTTTCAGCCGCACCCCTGATCTGATTGTAAGAAAGATCTACACCTAACCTTCTCGGACATGGGCGAAAAATCTCGGAGGGCCCGTGTGCAAGTTGCGCCCGTTAAAGATCCCTTGGTGGTCTAAAATCGATAAGAGTAGGCTTCGGCCGCCACCCGCGCAAAATTCAAACTTATACGATCTTATTGTGTTGCAAGTGCCATAAAACGCTTAGGAAAAAAATTCGCCTTTTATGTAGAGCTATATCTGAGCTGAAAGATTTACGACATTTTGTCCTTGTGTCTAATGTTTAACCTTTGCACGCTCTCATATGACCTTATGCAGTTCCAAGTGCCCTAAAACGCACAAGGAAAAAAGTTTAATTTTTGTTGACTGGAGTTTATTATGTCTACTGTATAACTATTGTTTATTTATTTTATCTGATTGATAAAATATTTTAACTATTGGGTATTTGCTCTAATTTATCTAATGGTCAAATGTTTACTTGTTTTATCTGATAGGTCTAATTTTTTGCTATTTTTACTTGTTCTATCTAATTGGTCTAATGTTAAACTATTGTTTAGTGTGTGGTTGGCATGTGCTCTGGTGTGGTTTGCTTCTTCTTTCCTATCAAACATCTATCGTCCTTATCTTCCCTTCTTCTTTTATATATGTTTGTTGCTCTCTTGTAACTCCTCTAATCTTCTGGTGCTCATATGACCTTATGCAGTTGCGAGTGCCGTAAAACCTCTACTAAAACTAAACTAAACCTATTGTTTACTTGTTTTATATATAACTGATCTAATGTTAAACTATTGTTTTCTTGTTTTATATTTATAACAGATCTAATGTTAAATTAATGTTTACTTGTTTTATATAACTGTAATAACAGATCTAATGTTAAACTATTGTTTACTTGTTTTATATATAACTGATCTAAAGTTAAACTATTGTTTACTTGTTTTATATATAACTGATCTAAAGTTAAACTATTGTTTACTTGTTTTATATAACTATAATAACAGATCTAATGTTAAATTAATGTTTACTTGTTTTATATATGTAACAGATCTAATGTTAAAGTATTGTTTACTTGTTTTATATTTATAACTGATCTAATGTTAAACTATTGTTTACTTGTTTTATATATAACAGATCTAATGTTATACTATTATTTACTTGTTCGCCTCCTACAGGAGTGAGAATCCTGCCACCAGTGCCATGAAGACCCCAGACTTCAGCAACAATCCCTACATGACCCAAGTGATGAACTCACTGAAGAAGCACGGAATGCCTTGTCTGACGGAAGCCTTTTCTGCCTCTAAAGCCAGTGAGTGGACTGCCGTAGTTTTGCTGGGTATTAACTCTTTCCGGACGTATCCCAGATATATCGGCGCGAGCCCACACCCCTTTTGGACGTATCGCCAATATATTGGCAGTGATACAGTGTTTCAGTATTGTTTCATTTTAACACGATCCATCATTTATAATTACTTTTTATTGGATTTACTTGGATCCAGAGCTAGAATCATAGCAGGCGGCACATGTCCATAGCTGCTCATCTCTCCTTTCCAGCGTCCACATCAGGGTCTTCCTGCTAATTGTCTCCATGAGGAGCTGGTTTGAGACATGCCTGACCACTCCTCGGAGCAAACTTTTTTTCGCTGTGCCCCGCACACACTTTCCTTTTATTGTGCTGAGTGTGTGGGAGTCTGTCTCCTCTTGGTTGTGAAGGCTCTCCTTGCATCTGGCGATCACCATTGGTGGGTCGAGCATGATTCGGCCATTGGGTGTTGCTTTGCCGGCAAGTTCATCAGCACGCTCATTTCCTTGCACCCCAGCGTGACCAGGGCAGAACACCCATATAATTCTTAGGAGGTGGCTATTTGCAATGGTAGCTCTCCAGTCACTGTAGAGCCACCCACTCCTGATTTTTTCTAGGGTGCTCATCGAATCTGTGACAAACGGCATGTTTATACGCTTCCATGCTGATCCATTCCAGCGCCTCTGTTATTGCCTTGACCTCCATTGCCATGCTCGACGTAGTGCACTCATAGGCTCCAGACTGTTCTTTAATTATCTTCCCGTCAACTAGAGCACTGAACGCCCACCCAGATTTCTGGCCACACCTCACTGATCCGTCGGTGAAGACGACAACATCACCCATCATTGAATTTTCCTCAAGGATGGCCACGATTTCCGCATTAGTTGCACTTGCTGGCCACTCGCGACACTCTCGACTTAGCTATCACCTTCATGAAGTTGCTCATGTCTTTCTCCGGCCTCATCCAGTCACATCCTCTTCTTATGTCCTCGATTTCACAGCACATATCGAGAGTTCGCTCCGCCTGCACCATCCATGAAGATCCTCTTTTCAATCTTTGGCGTACTTGGTTTCCTATTTTCGGATGTAGAGGGTGACGTTCGTCTGCTGTTACTCGAAGGTAGGCCTTGACTTGTGCTAGCTTGTGTCGGTGAGTTAGCGTTGGCAGGTCCAGCAGATATCTCATCGCTGATGCTGCTGTGTCACGGGTGCATCCCAGAACAGTTCTCATTCCTTCATTTTGAATGACTTCGAGGCGATGTAGCTGGGTTTTGGATAGGGTGAGCATACCAAGGCCATAGTCCACTACAGACAGTACAACCGCTTGAAGCATGATCATAAGGGCGCGTTGGGGCATAGATGCAGCCATCACTCTCAGTGCAACAAGTCCTTTCCTTGCTCTGGTGATAATATTCGTCACATGGTCTTTTGCCGAGAGGGTGCGGTCAAAGGTAATGCCCAGGTACTTCAATTTCTCTAGCCTTTCCAACTGCGTACCTTGTATATTGACAGTAGGCATGATAGCCTTGACTGCCCTATTGTTGAGACTGGTCCACAGTACCCCTGCCTTCGCTAGATTACTTTTTAATGCTATTGAAAAACTCAAAAAGGGTTTAGGAAACGAAATCATCTAGGTTCAATTTGTTAAAGCGTGGGTTTTGGGGGAAAACGAGTGAATTAGTTCTTGCGGTCTTGCGTCAACAAAACGATGTAACCGGACTCAGTATAAATATATCATAACTCAAACAAAAATTGGAATATTGCTTTCAAATAAAAAGTTGTGCATTCAGAAATTTATGGATTATGCTCTTGGCCATATATGATAAGATAGCTATGCTGATTTGCTTTCACGTGTTTGGTGAATGTAATTTTTTCTGTCAAAATGTATTTTTCTCCTCACCATCGCCATTTCTAGCCCTTCTAATGCCTACTTGTGTTCACAATTAATCCTTGTTTTATATTGGGATGTATTCCTCTTTCAATTTCCTTCTATTTGATATATCATATGTTACGTTGGAGTGATGGTTATGCTTCTATCAAGTTATTTTGTACCCCACCAGCATAGCCAAAGGGAGCCATAGGTGAATTATGTCTAGACCCCCCAAAAAACTACGTCCGGAAAGAGTTAATTGTTGTCACTTAGATTACGTTCATTACCGGCTTCTGTGGTGCGATGGTTAGGTCCTTTACCTGTTGCATGTAGAAGACATGAAAGTTTGATTCATTCCTGAGTGGAGAGTTTGGTTGTTTTGGGGTATCTTTGTCTGTTTGTGTGGGTGATGGGATTCCTCTCAGGCCGGGTTGTTGGCCCTGACAAGTAGGGCCGATGTAGCCCGTCTCGGAAATGTGGTCTTAATTGTTTGGATTACGGCTTAAAAAATTACAACCACATATTACACTTTGATTCAACGTTTTATTCCGTGTTTTCCTTTTAAAGTGAAATGGTGTTCCTATTTTTCAAGAGTTACTCCTTTCTTCAAGGTCAATTTTATCTCTTTTTACGTAGAAATACTTGTAGAAAATCCAGCTTTTTTAGCCCCGGCCACGTGGGCCTACAGGGCCTGTGCACCGGGGCTTTGTTGTTTCAACTGCTAGTCTATTTACACCCATCCCACACTGAGGTGTACTTTCAGGTGTGCAAAAGGTTGCGGGTAGAGTATCTTAAATTTTTAATGAAGTAGTTTAGGTTTGTTTTATCTCTTATGTGTAATAAAAAGTTCCTTATTTTTTCATATAATAATATATAAAACCTCTTTTACAGAGATGTAACGGTTCAGCAACTCATAATGAGATATGGCTATCTTGGAATTTGAGTTGCCGTGTCATTCTGAGGAAGGCAAAAATGTTTTAGGGGCCAGCTTAGCTATTTTTCTATGTGCATTTATTTTCTGTCTGTTTGGCTTTAATCGGCTGTCGACACTAGTAGGATTAACCCTATCCGTACGCTCTGGGGGCATTTTGTACGCCAGGGGATGTATTCTTCACATTTTAGAATACTTCTAGTGCGAAGATCTCTTTGGAACTTTCAGTATTTCTCAAAAAATCATTTTGACAGACTGCTTTGCAAAGCGTACAGATCGGATTAACGAGTAAATTTCCTCTTTGGAAAGTGGTGGCACAAGAGTTCCCCACGGCGTATCGATACCATTGTAAAACACGACCTACGGATAGGGTTAAACAATGTACAGATTGTGAATCAGATATAAACCTTTTCGATGTTTGTTCTCTCTTTGGATATGATATGGGGTTTTTTCACACACCTTTTCATCTGTAGTATGTGCTATTTATTTTCTACAGCAACAGCTGTCTTCTTCTTCTTAATTTATTTCAAATCATTATCAGGGATGCCAAATCTCAGGTTTTTCAGTTGTTGTTTTTTTTTTCAAAAATCATTTGGCTTTCCTGAAGAAGAAGGTCCTTCTTCTCAAAACAGATATAATATTACTGGAATTGATGAAACAAAGTCCGCCCCGTACCCTTGCAAAAGAAAGGGGAGAGGTAAGAGAGATGTTTTTGTGTGCTCATTGAAAAACTTTACAAGGTTTGTGTTAGGTGAGATGCGATGCTCCGCTCATTTTCAGGGTTTTTTCTCCAAAATCATTTGGCATCCCTGCATTATGTTGCAGTCTACCGACCATATCATGCCTTTTTTTTAAAAATCTGTGTTGATATTTACCATGTCTTTGTCTCCAGAGCGGTTAGAGGGGACTGGGCGGAGACGGGAGGCGCTCAAACAGCTGAACACAAACACACTGGCTCCAGCTCCGGTGTCCTCATCAGACAGGTAAAAACATTCTCCCTCTCTCCAGTGTCCGTAGCGTGTTGCTTACTCTCTTTGTGCCCACGCCCTCCCCCAGGGCAGTGCTACTGACGAAAGTAGAAATATATTTTGATATAGTTTATATTGGTATGTATGGGCTAGGGTTTTTGAAGTCGTTTTGGCAATCACCCTGCGCTCAATTCCAGATTCAATACTGAGTGATAGGTGCCTTGAACGACTGTCCATAAACTATTTATTTTTTAAAACTCGCATCATTTCATACTCACTGTTCATCTTAACTTGTGCACACCCAAACACCCCCCCCCCTCCCCCTCCCCACATATATAAACACACACGTGTGCATGCGCACGTGCACACACAGACACACACACACACACACACACACACGTGTGCATGCACTAACAAGTTTTCAAAATACGATTACCCAATATCACGGAAAGCAAGCGCGTTCGATGGGGCAACGATAATCTTTTTTTTTCCCTTCTTTGTCTTTGTACTACCTGATTTGGGGCCAAACTACCTGAAACTGACCCTGAATCTACCTGAAATGGGAACTTTGAGGTAGACAGCCCTGTTAACGTGTTCTTATGCTCAGCAGAATTGTAAATGGGCTGATTTATCAATGTCATGCTCGTTCTGTGCTGGAACAACATAGAAGGAATTGCTGCTTTTTCTTTCCTCATCCATACTATCATCATTTTTCCCCTACTTCTTTTGTTATGTTTGTCACACTCTTGTGACCTGCTATTTCCGGGGTGCCTTCATAGTCGAAGCAGACTTTGTGCTGTTGTAGCTAAAGAGGTGAGCAGAGTAAGTCCGATTCCCTGTAAGGACTTCTCTTTTGACATCCATCCCTTGGCGCTCATATGACCTTATGCAGTTGCGAGCGCTGTAGAACCTCTAAGAAAAGAGATTTTTTGAGAGGATTATGAGGAAAACTCCTATTTCTTGTCTTCCGTAAGCAGAATAGAAAGGTTAATACGATTTGGGTTTTTTTTTAACGTTTGTTATATTTTGATTACAACAGTGCATTGAGCACATTGTAGTTACTTTGATAGTTGAATTAATGCAAACTTTGTATTTTGGTCAAAGAATTAATAGATTTGCTTTTTTTTCCTCCCCCCCCTCCCCCAACCCGAATCATGAACAGCTCTGCAGAAAAAACTCCTGATCCAGATGTCTTTGGTGAATGTTCAGTTGGAAAACAGACTCTCGGGGTAGGGCGAGTGCTTAAAAACTCCACGAAGGAACGGCGCCACAACCGAGCCTTGGCCTCGAACCCGTACCTCCGAGACAGGGTCCACAACGTGAAGAAGCACGGCTTCCCGTCTGCTCTGGATGTTCTGTCGAAAGTAAACCACAAGCAATCATCAGATACTGTCGGTAGGTTGTGCTGTGCAGTTTTATCATTGGTTTATTTAATTGCTTTTATTAGTTTTAGTGAAGGTTTGGCGCTTCTGAACTAATGGCGTTGTACTAACCCCACTCTTCATGAAGAGCCAGGTCTGAAACTGACATTAGTGATCATGGTTTGCCACTCATTTCTCTGCTCTAATGCTGTGAAAAAGAGAACTTGTTTTGTCATGGACCCGTCTGTTGAAATTCTCTAGTAAGTTGTTCTAAGACTACTCCTGAGCAAGTGGGACTCCTTAAGTATTTTCAATTTTGGTAAAAATTATTTATGAATTTTGCCCGGGTGGTGGCCAAAGCCTATTCTTACCGATTTTGGACCACCAAGGGATCTTTAATGTGTGTAAATGGCACACGAGATCTCCAAGATCTTTCGTTCTTATCCGAAAAGACTGGGTGTTAGATCTTACCTACCCTAAGATCAGCGGTGTGGTTGAAAGACAGCCGTAAGAAGGAGCCAAGGAGTTGCTGCAGAAAGAGCTCAGGAGCCCAGAGGAGGGGGGAGGACAGAAAGTGGAGACGAAAGCAGACGACAGAACATGGATAGAGAGCAGGACAAGAAGTGAAAGAAGAAAATTTCAGAGAAAAAAATTTCCGTCACTGTCGGATTTCGAATCCGGGACCTATTGAATCAGAGGCGAACACAGTAACCACTATCCCACGAGAGCCCCACATGATGAATTTTTGAAAAGGTTTACAGGCCTTCGTATAAAGTGATTATAAATAGCTTGGGGTAATTCATGTTCTGGAACTTTTTTTTTCAGGGTCCTCTCAGTCCCAGCCAAGCTACATGCTTCCCACGATCTCAACGTCTCAGCGAATACTCCGCATGGAGAGGGAGAAGCTCATGAGGATAGGGGCAAGAAACCAAAGACAGCCATAGTAAGTTTGTTTGAATTTCATCATCATCTTTTCTTCTTTTGTTTTTCTTGAAACGTGACAATTTGTACCATTTTGACGCTTTTTTTTTCTGGACACAGAACCCTGTCTTTAAAAACGGTCAAACCTGCCACCTGTACCAATGGCCACTTTACATCCAACCCCCCCCCCCCCCCCCTACGTTTTTTATTTAAAATTTGTGTAAAACGGTCACCTGTCCCACACGACCACCTTATTTTATCAACTCACAACCAAAATACTTGCCTTAGACAGCCACACGTGGTCTCCCATTGCTCGATGCTTTATCATAAATTTTATATAGGCCCCTGATGTTGTGGATGGGCGGTCATAATCCATTCTCCTGTCATTATTGTTAGTCCCTTCAATGAATGTTGACCCAAGTTGACCAGAGGATAGCAATATAAAATTTTCACCTGCTGGTGAGAGAAGCGTGTGATCGGTCATAACCTGTAAGCCCCGCCCACAACTCATACACAAATCGTACGTGAGGTGACGTGCTCACTGTTTTGTGAACCTAATCTGTAACAAAGTAACCATGGACGGTTACGTGAACTGGCGGCAGAAGCGTCGCTCGTTCTCCCGAGTGGTGGCGACCCAGTGTTTTTTTTAACCGTGGTACTGGGTCTTCATCGTCGTACATTGGTTTATTTTTACCTTTCACAAAATCAGCAACGAAAAAAAAGAAGCTAACCAAGGAACAAAACAAAACAACAAACAAGAAACAACTTTTTACACCCCTCCACCACACACGCAACAAACATCCCCCCCCCACAAAAAAAAAGAAAGCAATAACCCTTTTGAATTAGTATTAGCCTTACAACAGTAGTCCTAAGTCTAAGATCAGCCCCAGTTTGGACCTCAGAAGAGAATGGTGGTCTCTTTCTTCATTTATTTTGATCAGTCCTGCCTGAGACGGCCACTTTTCTGCTTGATAATGACAGTGGGTGGCCGTTTTACACAGGTTCGGCTGTAGTTTGTTTGAGTTAATATTATTAAAGAGAAGCATGTTGACGACATAATGGTCATTGAGTGCTTGGGAAAAAGACAGGACTAAAAGATCGAAACAATTCTACTACTAATAATTAATAAAGATGATTTTTTTTTAGCAAATATAAGCGCACTTAAAGTTTCTCTAATTTTGTAAAATTTTGCCAGGGTTTATTTTTTAAGGTGAATTTAGAGTGACTGTACCTTGGGCAACTCTTACTGCACTGTAGATTTAATGTGAATGTATCAAATAGTGCAGAATTTCTTTTGCTTTAAACTGGTATGCTGCTTGCATGGGTAGTGCTAGGCTTACACTTACATGGCAATTGAGTGCATACATTTTGTCGCTTTATATTAAGGACAAGTGGGCTAACCCAGATTTCGGGGGTTTCCAGAAGTCTTGACCTATTCCAAAAGTTGACATTGCCCTACCTATAGGAGAAGTTTGGTTTCATTGGTGTATGTATTTGTTTAGTTATAGAGAAAACTCTCCTTGTTTTTCAATGAAACTGAACAATGGGCAAAAACTTTACCTTCGATTTTCTCAAAACCGCTTTTTTCGGGACAGCCTTTTTGTCCTTAAAATAAAAGTGACCATTTTCAAGCTTTTTTGGACGCCATTATATATATATATTTACTTTTATCCTTTTATTTTTGCAGTTCAATACCCAAGACAACAATGGCAGGACAGCTATCATAACAGTGGTAAACAAGACTGACGTCTCCAAGTAGCCTACTTCATTTTAATTTGTTTTTTATGTCCCTCTCATCCTATTTTTGATAGTATAGCTTACAGAAATCCTGTTCACATTGCTCTATACTGTGTCAGTCAGTATTTTATGGTGCTTCGCATGTTCAGTCTACAAATAGGCCTACTTGTCTCATTCGGCAATCAGGGACGTCGGTCGGTCGTGTATCGGTGGCTCATTGTAGTACTGAATATATATATAGTGGAAGGGAACTGGCTGATGGATGGTGATGGTGCTTGTATAGCAAGGCTTTCTTTTTTCTTTTTTTTTAACTTAATATTATTTTGGACGAGGAGTAGCATAATAGGTGCGCACTGAGAATGTTTTCTTTGAATTTTATACATAGTATTTTAAGCATGGTCCTTTTGACAACATTGTAAAAGAATATATATTGAAAAATCTTTTAAGAATGTTATTCTACAAAACTTGGAACACTTTGAAAATTTACTTTTATCTTTGTGAAATGTGTTCAAGGCATTTTACAAACTATTGGCTTCGCTATATCTTTAACTATAATGAATGCAGTCTTTGTTTTGTTTAAATTAATAAAATTACATTGATATTTGACTCATGAAATGTCTTATGTGGATTTCTTTGTTCAATTATAAGGAAACTACACAGATATTCTACCGGTACCTAAAAATACCACTTTTTCATTACCGGTATATAATTATTAGATGCACATGGATTGACTTTTGTTAAGGTGGCTTTCATGGTGAGTTGACCAAGTGATAAAGGGCTCATCATGGATAAAATTTGCCGGCTGTGGCCGGAAATTCCGGTAGGAGAAAGCCAGCGCACATCATTATGATCATGGTGCCGGCAGCCCATGAGGGCCATCCTTGATTGGACTAACGTCGATCTCGTGAAGCACGGGTTTCTTTCATTTACCTGACACTGTCTTAAAAAAGTCCGACTTTTTAACTCCGCTGCTCGAGTTCGAGCATAAATCAACAGTACGGGGGTGATTTGATTTTATCTTTTCAGGCAAAGCCGCTCGAGATGCTACGAGTTTGAAAGTTTTATAGCAAAATAGTTGTGGCCAACTTTTACCCATGGGGCTCATCTGACTAATTTCAAAAACTGGTAATAATGGTGGTAAGTACACAGTAATGTGGTTTCTATTTTAGAACTAGAAGAAGCCAGTTAGTTATTGGGAGACTAAAATAGTGGATTGTTATACCGAGGGCACACTGCCAATCGAATTATATTTTCAATTAGATCTCTAAGCTAAGCCATGCTGGCCAGATTTTCCTTTATGAATAGAACATTTTTTGCCTTTTTGGCACAACTAATCCGAATTCGACTGACTTCGGCTGTTAGAGTTGCTTTTGAACTAATTTACCACTCATTCATACAAACTATTAGATGCAAATACATTACTTCGTCTCTATAGATCTGAATAAATATCACCATGGCTAATTCAAGGCATAATCTATTTAAGTTTCAGCAAAGCTACTCGTTCTTCAATGTCTCTCTCTCCTCTGCCCCTTCCCCCCCCCCCCCCCCCCCCCCCTCTCTCTCTCTCTCTCTCTCTCTGCCCCTCTCCCCTCTCTTGCTCTTTGTCTGTCTGCACATATCCGTTCGCTTACTTTTATTTAAACTAGCTTAGAAATTTTCGGACACTCCAGCCTGAATCTCGATCTTTTGCATTGCTTTGCACAATGTTCTGGGGACAGGCAATTGGACGAGCTTCTGCAGAAAGGAATGCTTTGCGTGTAAGTGTAACATGATAGAGGGCCGGCGCCACACTTTTGTCCGAATTTTTCCCCTGGATACCCTCACTTGTGAGATGACAAATTCTAGAGCAGCTGGTAACCCTGATACATACGCACATCCGGGCGAAGTGACAGCTCCTTGGTTACAAATTAATACTGTAAAACATGCTGCTGACATGATCATCCGTCAGCCAAATCACAGATTTCCTGTCCTCACAAATCAAAGCATCAACAGCTGCAATGTTCTTGTCTGTCACAGAAGACTCAAGGCACCCACGGCCTGGATTTTCTTCAAGATTTAAATGCCCAGCCTTAGGTATTCTATAAGAACTTAGACCATTGCTATTTTATTTTTTTGCTCATTACATTATATACAATTTAACATGTAGCCTACATGACAAAATTCAGTTGGGGGTCTCCGAAAGAGCATGCGAACAGTACGGCGCTTTAGAACAGATGCCCATTGGTCAAATGCATGTGTTCTGCGCTATTTACAGATCAGGGCAACGCGTTTTAACGATCGTATAATTGCCCGGCAATCTGAAGATTGCGCTAGTAGGCCCCCTATTTCATAATTTTTAAATAATTTTTTTTAAAAATTCACTTCCATCTTTATTCTTTTACTCAGGTTCGTATTCGTATCAAGGAACATTCACATATTTTCACAAGAGTAAAAACCTAAAATTAACATACGAAACTGAAGAGCTCACAAGAATGATACAATTACGACCGTTAAAACGTGCAGCGCAATCTTAATCGGTAAATAGCGCGGACCGCATGAATGTCGGATGGAACGAATTGAGTAATGCCTAGTGTACACTGCCAGTCAAATTCAGTTGAATTCCTTTGTTTGAATTGAGTCATTGAGTTGGGGTCGGCCAGATTTTTCTCTATGATGACGAGGAGAGGGGAGGGGAAGCTACCATCGTAGCACAATTGGTCGCTTTTAAGGACAAGCAGGCTAACCCAGATTTTGGGGGTTTCCAGAAATCTTCACCTAAACCAAAATTTAAAGTGGAAGTTTGGTTTCATTGGTGCATACATTTGTTTCAGAGAAAACACTCCTTGAGTTTTAAAGAGACCGAACAAGGGGCAAAAACTTAGCTTCGATTTTCTCAAACTCAAAACAGCATCTTATGGGATAGCCCCCATTTGCTAAAAAAACGACAAATTCGAAATGAGTTTGAACTTTCATACAAGTACCAACAAACGCATTGTCAATGTCAGCACGCACACAATAAGTCTTAGCGTGTGTCGGTTCTAGGTGTGGATCATCAGTAGAGATACAAACGTGTCAGCTATTTTTTTCCACGTGCTACTTAATTACTTATCAAATATATATTACAATTATATTATCAGCTAGTCTTGACATAGATCTACATCAAACATTGCTGCATGCTAGGCTCTACACAGCAACATGACTTGTTCAGCAAACAATACATTTTATAGATGATAGATGACACGGGCGTGCATTTAAACGAATCGGCCCTTTAGCACAGTGCTTACATGGTAATGTTCTGTGTATTTTCCTGGAATTTTTTTCAACATTTCTTCGGTATGCCTGTCATTTGGAACCAAACTACTTTTGATTGAGAAAGTCAAATATTAAACATTACTTATTATTACTTGCTTGGTGCCTGTAATTATCTCTACAAAAACCTTGTTTGCTATACTATAACGACCCCTCGAAGTCAACTAATTTTAAGGTCAAGCCCGATGACTTCATTGAATCCAAGTTCCACTGTACCAGTGTCTGTAGTGTAGCAGTTAAGCGCTTCGCATGCTGGAGACCCCAGTTCGATTCCCAAAAGGAGAGAACATTTTTATCAAGTATCTCTGTCTTTATGGTGGGATGTTGTAGCGTCGGTAGTCAAGTGGTTAAGCTACCACTACTACCAGACTCGTAATTGTAAGGTTGTGGGTTCGATACTCAAGCCCGACATATCTTTGGGAAAGGCACTGTACATGAATTTTCCTCACTTAACCCATGGGTGAATGGGTATCCGGCTATGGACAGCGAAACATCCTCTCAGTATGTTAGTGTTCCGGCCCCTATAAGGTGACAGCTTGCGCTGAATGCTTCCCATGAAGTTGAGATTGTTTCAGAATGCTATCACAGATCTGCTGGAGGAATATCAACATATGGCCTGCGAAGCGTTGCACAGCTTGCTGTTGAGCAGGAATAAGCACTAAACAAAAATGCTATTTATCATTATTGTCTGAATATCATCCCTCTCGGCCAGAGTTGACCCTGACAGGAAGTGTCAACAGCCCCCCTTCTATGGTCTAAATTGTGATAATGGGGGCGTAAAAAACACCTACATTAAAATATTTTAAAACGACAGTGAGCGAAACTGTAGAACAACGGTAAAAAAGGATTTAAATAAACATGTCTTTATGGCCAGTTTTACACACGACCTATCTGGGTGCCATTCTCGAATTTCTATTTTATGCAATAGGACCATAGCTCAAGAAAAGCCTATAAATTAAATCGAACAGAAAGTTCAATCAATCCAAGTTCACTACATTGTGCTGGCAACAGTGATTAAGGCAGACGAGAGAAGTTTTATGTCTCAGTAAGAGTTTTATGGCACTTGCAACACGATTAGGTCATATAAGTTCCGAAGATTAGAGTGTTACAAGGGAGTAACAAACACACAAAAAAGGAGAGATACGGATTACAGAAATAGATGTTTGATAGGCAAGGTCAAGGAGTAAACCACAGCGGAGTACCAGGTAACCAACCACACAGCAGAAAAAGAAACATCACGATGTTGTACAGTATAAATTATAAAGATTTTTCACTACAAAACCCAGTAAAGTGAAGTCTAAAGCTCAAACAATGAACAAAACCATGAAAATGTAATTATTATTGTGCCCCAAAAAAGGCAAGCAATTTTTATTATTAGAACACACAGCGAGAACTTATGTTCAAACAAACCGATCAGCTCAGAAAATGCTCAACAATCCCTAAAATACATAGTAATCCTCGTGAACACAGTTAAACCTTTCTGTCACAAACGTCTGGCATACAAGGCACACCAGATGGTGCAAAGTCGTAGTCTATGAATCATTTCATTCATGTTGGTCGAGATAAATAAAACTGTGAGGTAAAAAAAGAAAGAGTATGTAATGTTACGAAAGTACGGTAATTGAAAATATTGGCTATGTACTTTAAGTAATTTTTAAAAAATAATTTTCTTTTTAATTTTACATTTCTTTCCCTTCGGTACTGAACAACATTGGCCATAAAAATGAAAGCCATAAAAAGAAATAATGGTGGAGATAAGTTGACATATCTTCCAGTTCAAGTACAAGTCAAGACTAGATGGCTCTGCACGACATAACGTTCAACTCATCAAGCCTACATGAGTGTTAAAAATTCCAGTCAGTAGACTACATGTCCACAAAGCAGACATAACTACTGCCACTCAGTCTCAATCTCTCAATACAAAACCAACCACACGCAACGTCTCATGTACACACATATTTCGGTTATCGTAGAAAAGGATCCGGTCTGTTCTTCCTCATCACAAATTCAATTTTCCGCTGCATTTCTGAGTCGTAGATCCGTCTAGCTCTCTCATATGACAGCCGGCTCCTCTTGAGGAAAGGTTTCTCAAATCTTTCTTTCCGTTTCACATCTGAGAAAAACTGCTCCCGTTTCAGTATTCTGTGTGAAAAATTTTAAAGAGCATTTAATGTGTTAATTCATTTGCGAGGGAGAGTATTATAAGTATTAGCATAATCAGAAAATGGTAACATTCCGATTTCCAAAACATTAAAGAGAAGCAGGAAAAAGAGACATGACACAGAGAAGCAGGAAAAAGAGACATGACACAGAGAAGCAGGAGAAAGAGACATGACACAGAGAAGCAGGAAAAAGAGACATGACAGAGAAGCAGGAAAAAGAGACATGACACAGAGAAGCAGGAGAAAGAGACATGACACAGAGAAGCAGGAAAAAGAGACATGACAAAGAGGAGCAGGAAAAAGAGACATGACACAGAGAAGCAGGAAAAAGAGACATG